AAATTAAAATTGTTGACTTTGTGGATAAATGAAGCAAACGAATCCTTGTTGGGTTTACTTTTATATGTGTACTAATACAGCTATTCTATGACTTCTGTAGAAACAAGCTTCAAATCAATAACCGGCACGTGATCATCGGGAGATACATATCACTTATTAGCAAGACGCAGAGACCAATAGGGGGCCATTAATATCACATATGAATTATAGGCTATGGTCAACAGTGACTCTACCACATGATGCTGATTAGACGGTTCGCTGTAAATTCTCATCTTCAAATAGACGTTGAAAAGCCGAGTTCAACATCGCCTTATTGAGCTCGAACGATGATCATTACTACAAAAGATGAAAAGGATACGTTTCAGTGATATTTGTTAAAATTGTCAATTTAACACCATATTTAAAATGATACATCGGCAATGGTCAACTTTGGCTGGTAAAAGGGAAATGATATTATGACTAATGATTTGGAACTACAAAACAGCTAATAGCTTATGGATGTGCAGTCGCTGTTGATGAACCAAGAGGTGCTTGATGCGTGCCATTTTGTGTTTGATCTCTACTGGGTTACTTTTTTTTCAGTACAATCGCTCTTATGTACAAATTTACATCAACCTTATTCCGTCAAATAAATAAATTAATGAATTGAAAAATGAAATATTTTAGAATATAAAATATAAAATACTTAAAGGACAATTTTGATGTCAGCCATTATCACATATGTTATAGAACTGGCTAAACACATTCCAAATATAATTTTAACACATAGATCATTGCTACGGTAGATGCGTAACGAAGATTTGAAGAAGCGGGAAGTGACCCCAAAAATGTGTCAATGGCTGACACCAATATTGTCCTTTAAGATATGTTTTCGAATATAAAATCATTAACATTAGTATTGGTTTTAGACAACATACCGACTCACTATAGTGATTGCTCACTCATCCCAAAATGAGAGAGAGAGAGAGAGAGAGAGAGAGAGAGAGAGAGGGGGGAGAAAGATGGGGTTTTACGTCCACTCGACACACTCTGGAATAATATATAGTTCAATTTTTTTTTTCAATAATTCGCTTGCGCGTAGGGGTTTTCAGAAGGGGGGGGGGGGGGCAGAAGATCCGGAGAAAACCCACAATGTTGGACAGGTGACCCTACTCCTTGTCACCACGCTAGTTGATTCACTGACCGACCTAATGATACAACGGGCACGCGCTAACCATTCGGTCACCCTACCCCGGTGGGAAATCAATAGAAACCACTGTGAATGTCCGATTGATAGATTTTAATAAAATAATTTTTATTGTGATTGTCTATATTTGTAAACTAACGTTATGTGAAAGTTATTGAACGATCAAATAAGTATGTGACCCATCTTATACCAAGTTCCATAAATTTTCACAAATGCAACATTCACATCATTGATGGTATATTCAGGATCATTTAAATCCATGGCTATGGCCAAGATACGATAGGTTTCGCTATCCCCTGCACATATTTTGTTGCATATAAGAAACTTAGATATGATTTGTTTCGTGTTGATTATTTTTTAAAGGAATGGCTATTAATGCACCACATTTCGCATAAACTTATTGCCAAAACAAATTTATGTCCATTATGTGAATTAGAACCAGAAGATTCTTTTCATTTCATATGTAAATGTAAATTATTACAAGACACTCGTGTTAAATATTTAAATTTTGTAGACTCTTCCGATATTAATTATTTTTATAAATTGTGTACATATAAAGATAGAGAATTTTTATTATCTTTGTCAAATTTTATAAATGCAGCCATAAGATTAGAAATCATCAAATTATGAATTAAACTGTTTATTGTAAATAAATTAACACTTTTTAAAATGTTCATAATAGTAGCTAATTTATTTATTTAATGACCTGTTTGATATATTTGTATACATGTATATATTTATTATTTATATATTTACAACCTTGTAACTTTGGGTCGATGACCTGTTTACTGAATAAAACATTATTATTATATTATTATTATTTCGCATAATCTTAACCTGATTTACGACTTTAAAATCGATCAAAATCAATGTTTCCATTGGTTAATATAGAGATGTCAGCTACCTCTTCAAATGGGAAGTGGTTTCAGGTATTTTGAAAGCGTATTCATGCCCTGCCTACTGGACAGCTAAATGTTCGAACATGCAGTTCAGGAGCTGGAGCTGTTGATTACGACACTAAAAAGGGTTGTGGACTTTGGCTTTGTTAATATTTATTAAAACAATTTGTCCATTTTGTCTTAAATATTGAATATCAGAAGCCCATCATTTCACCGTAAGATAAAAACATCAATGTTGATTTAAATTGACGATTAAGTCGTGTTTTCAATGTCCAAGACTGTGGGTGATATTGAGTTAGAGACTTTTAACGCGTCATAAATCATCACCAACACGTCAACAATTATACCTGGTAACTTGGATTTCATTTCCGGACTCAAGATTGTGTAGAAAGGGGTACAAATGGCGAGTTAATGAGTCGCGGTGTAATTATCTATGGTTTATATACCACGAGAATGGAACTAATTACGTTACTATTAACTCGATTATATTACTGAAATCAATAATCAAACAATCAAAGGGGTGACAAGAACACCTTAAGATAACTACTTTTTGAAGGCATTTTTAACAAATTCTAGTTGAAGGTATTCTCTAATTAACTGTATATCCGACTAGGACAGCAGTAGGTCTTTACTAAAAATATAGACATACCCTATGCTATCGTAGAATATCTGTAAACCTCCAGTCTACAATTGATATTTATGATTCAATTTATTGTCCGTTTTACCTAGTCGAATTTGGTCAACTTTGAGGCAAAGAACGAATATTAACGTTGGTTGAAGGATTTTAAACACAATTTTTTTAAAACCATTGATCACACTATTTATTTTGGGAAAGAACTTATATAGGCTTTGACTGTTGTTCAATCCTTTTCAAATGAATAAAATATTGTTAAAACTATTTAAAGACTACAAATATGTAAGAATATACGATCATTGGTTCCTTCACTTTGAAACATTTGACAGAACTTTTTCGCAATAAAATGAATCAGCACATTATGTTTTTATGGAAATTTAATATTTTGTCTCACAAAGTCAGCAACATAGTGGTGTTGTTTTTACAGAAAATAGTTGGTTTGTTTGTGATTAACTTTGACATTTTGGATTGTATGTGTTCCTGATTGGCGCAGTTTATTAGAACATTTTTACCTTGGCCTTCGATATTAGCGTATATATAAACCAAATATATCTCACACAATAATTACAGACACATATAGATAATGATAGGGTGACATCAATAACCATTGATTCAAAATTCAATGATGTTAGGACTGGTCAATTTGAACATGTGTTTGTGTGTGGTCTTCAAGTCTGCCTTTGACCGCTAATCTGGTATGATGTCCCTCTAACAAACACAAGTCTCTAATATTTCAAATTCAACTTTAGGACGTCAAAAGAATAAAGTCAGATGTTATAGGCAATTTTCAAAACGAGAAACATGGAAGTAAATAAACTGACATACACTGACAAATCTACAGATTCTCTTGATTGATTTGGTTGTTTATCCTTGTTTATCCAGACGAATTTGTTTATAAGTTAATACAATTTTGATTAGACTAAGTTATACTGGACAAGTAACTCTAGGAATGTTCTTGGAGACATACAAAACTTATTAAAGGCACCCACGGGCTAAATATAGACTGCTCCATGCCACCAGCCATATAAAAAGAAATTGTTTTGTCAATAACACCAGAGTATTGTAAAAAGTGGCTGACAATAAAAGATACATATTGGATGATATATGTGCAATACTCTTGTCGGTGATTAGTTGGAACGTTTGGACAAATTTTCAATTATCCAGAATTTGTGCATTTGTTTATGAAATTATTTCAATTGTGGATATGATGTGTAGAATATGCATATCTATAACTTTCCATGTCGGTCACTTTTTGCAATAATGTGGGCTATTTGGACATATTTTTAGTTTCGTCATAAAGAAATTGTGATTTGTATAGGCCAAAAGATATCTTCTGTGGTTTGTCCATCAATGGGCGACTAAGGTAACCTTTCCTAGTGCGGTAACATTCTGTGGTTTGTTCGCCAATGGTCGTTTAAGGTAACCTTGTATAGTACGGTAACATAATGTGAACAACAACATAATCGCGTCCAATTATATTTGTCATTTAAATGCCAGAACAGATCTGGGTCTTATTAAACTATTTCGAATTTAAAGTGATACGGACATATATTGCCGTGTACGTGTTTTAAATGAATTTCCAAAAGTTATTGGCCTGTCCCAAACGATCATGGCTACAACAGCCGCTATATGGTTTATTTTTCTAAGTAGTATATTTTATTTTACAGAACATATAAATTTTATTGTGTAGGTTAATCCGTCGAGTCCAGGAACAAATCCGACTGTCCTATCGTAGAAATTGAATTTCCAATTAATCAGTACACCAAAGTTGATATCAAATCTAAACTATGTAAAATAAAATCACTGTTCTTTGGGGGGGGGGGGGCTTATACTACCTAAACATCTTCGCGAGCGATATTGTAGGTACTCACCAGATAAACATATTTGCAGTACGACGTTGTAGTCTAACGGGACAAAATACAAGAACAAGAGATGAGGCAGACATATAAAAGAGAGAGAGAGAGAGAGAGAGAGAGAGAGAAACGTTTAACGTCCACTCGACACAAACTAGGTCATTTCGGGACTAACATATGGTTTAATTTTATTTCAATAATTCGCTTGCGCGTAGGGGTCTTTAGCAGTGGGAGGAAACCGGAGGACCCGGAGAAAACCCACGAGGTTGGACAGGCGACCCTACTCCTTGTCACGTACAACAGGGGATTCGAAACCCCGCCAGTTGACTCAATGACAGACTTTATGATACAGCGTGCACACGCTAACCATTCAGCCATCCACCCCCCCCCCCCCCAGACATATAAAAGTAAAGCCCCTTTAAATATGGGTTGTGTATGACTCATATGTTACGCAATAACCAAATATCGTCTATAAATACTTCAAATCTGTCACTGGACGTTCAGATGAATAAAAACAGGAGTTAGAATGTTGTTTTCGATTATATTAGTCCTTCAGGTAAGATTTTTAAACGCTTTTTTTACATCAGTAATTTGATTTGTTATCAGTACCTGTCTAATAATCGCCCTATTAGGTGCTCAACCATATTCTTTTGTCAAAATGGAGATTCTAGGCTTACTAGAATTTTGTTATTTCATTATTGTAAAATATACCTAACAAGATATTACTATACATTTTGATAGATATTAAAACTTTTAACAACTTTGATGATTTAAAATGAGTAGTTTGATTCTAGAGTGGACAGTGATACATCTACTTCGGGGCTGCATCTCTCTTCATTAACGTCGATATTAGGTACGGATTATTATTCGTGTGATTCCGATGGATTAGATATTTCATACATGTGTTGTTGCATTGAAATTATCAGACGTTCCGGTGGTTTTTCGGAAGGGTGGGTTGGTGGGGGGGGGGGGGGGTGCGCCATAAGAAACCGGGTGTCCGCTTTTGTAACTTAACTATAGAGTCGCATGTCCGGTTCTATTAAGCTCCGCAACTTCGTGTTATAACCCAAATATATTATTTCGCTTCAGATATTCGCTATAGTGTCAAACCAAGACATCAATGAAGACGAAAGAACAATATTACAAGCAGCATACAAGAATACGTTAGAAAATCTGGAACAGGCAGAGCATTATATTAAAGAAACCAAGAAGAGCTTAGAATCTTTAAGTGAACTCTTAAAAGGAGACACCGCTACTTCAAAGGTAACAATTTTGAATCGTCTAATCATTCTGTTTTACCGTTATCATTAAAGATGCATTATGCAAGATTTAGATAAAGTGCTGATCTTTCTTGCTATAATAGTTCAAAATAGATAATGCAAAATGAATATCTTGAAAATAAATTTCATTCAAATTACTTTATTTCGAGCGACGTTATCACTGTTTGAAGTTTTGACAATATGTGGCATATTATTATCGTTACAACGGTACTTGTTACTTCAATAATCGGCTTTATTTGGAACGTCTATGGATATATCCAAATCATAACGTTGAGCTTACGTGTTTCAGGAAGATGTAAACAAAGTTGAGGATGACAAGATTGATGTAAGTAAACCATGATCATTCACAATCTATTTCAAACAAGATATCAGTTGCGGCCCAACACCTTGAATCCACCCTAAGACATATAATTAAAGCGTGTAAAACTCTGTCAACTAACCTTCCTGTAAAAAAGACTCGCAAACTGATCCAGGCTATACAAATCAAAAGAAACAGTCCAGACCAAAAGTTCAAAACCATGACACAGGGATATTCTTTCCAAATGGGGGGGTTGGATGGCTGAATGGTTAGCGTGCGCACGCTGTATCATAAAGTCTGTCATTGAGTCGACTGGCGTGGTTTCGAATCCCCGGTTGTACGTGGCAAGGAGTAGGGTCGCCTGTCCAATCTCGTGGGTTTTCTCCGGGGCCTCCGGTTTCCTCCCACTGCTAAAGACACCTACGCGCAAGCGAATTATGTAAATAAAAATTAAACCATATGTTAGTCCCGAAATGACCTAGTTTGTGTCGAGTGGACGTTAAACCCCATTTCTCTCTCTCTCTTTTTCCAAATGCCAAATTGTCATTCGTTATCATTCCTTATCGCTCATTGTTATTCATTATCACTTAGCATCATTCATTGTCATTATCATTATCATTGAGTCTGGAGGTCGCGTGTTCGATCCTGCATTGTCCGAGAAAGTTCTTCGGGATTTTCCGACGTGGTTTCAACTTGTCAGTGGTGCAGGGCGGAGGGCCTGACAAGGATGGCTATCTAGTGGTTCGGATAAAACGCAAAAACGATATAAGAGTAGATCATAGTGCCGTTTCCCGGGCAAAATTTCCCTCCTCATAGCACACCGTATGGCGTATTCCCGTCTTCATTAGCCCAGTCGGAGCAGAACAATAGGACGTTAAACCCCATTTCATTTCATTATTATTTATTATCACCATCATTCATTATCGTTATCTTCATATTATTAATAGTTGTTTGACCTAAAGTGTCATTGAGTCAACTGGCGTGGTCTCGAATCCTCGATTGTACGTGGCAAGGAGTAGGGTCGCCTGTCCAGCCTCGTGGGTTTTCTGTGTTATAGTTTATAGGTATTAAAAACGTAGCGTGTGGTTGGAATACAACTAGGGTGCGAGCTCTCTAAAAAGCCGACAAACACTTTAACTCAACTAGGAATTGCTACCAATATTACATATCATGAATAAGTTCACTAAATAGAATTAAAGGGGCAATAACACTCTTGCTGGCTTGAAAGCTCCAGAAAATAAATAATATCTCTATCTAAGTACTAGATGTTTAAGTGTCCTACCTGTTGTGTAAATTATCCATTACCTCCTATTTTACTTGTCCAGAGGGTTCGAAAATATTTTTAAATCGAAGTTTCATTTGAAAAGGTTTACGTTAGACGTTTCAAACCATTATGTTAAATTTTTAAATAAGGTGTGTTAAGATGAAATTTGTATCATCAATTAATTGTAATATTCTAAAATAGTAAAATTTGTTGACCAGAATAAAGATTGGGACATATTATTCAGTTACAACAAGAGTGGTATTGAGCCTTTAACTGATTGGCATTAACGTGAATATTAATCAATTTTGAAACTTCAATAATTTTAAAATGTTATAATTGTAATTATTATTTCATTTCACACAATCGGAAAATATATTACTACCAGTGTACAATGTTACATTCACTGACAATAATAACCCTGGTTTTGGGTATACATTGATATGTATCATATTGAACTAGTTCAATACATCTTTTATTGCAATTACAAACATTAACTAACCAATTAAAGTATTCAATTACAGATGACGGATGTTTATAAGATACTTGATAGTAAAAATGTACGGGAAAGAATCGATCAACAAAAACGACCAGAACATGCTACTGTAAGTTATGTAAAAACAATTGTATCGTGTGATTAAATTTGAACAAGCTGCCCCGGTAACGGCATTCCTCTGTTTATTCATAAGCAATACATTTTACCATTAGCTTAAAGGTTTTAAAGCCGTTGATTAATTATTATTTTGAGTAATGATCGAATTTATAGACTTATTACAACTTTAAAAATGCTATAAATGTTGTTTTTATTTCTAGGGTACGGGTACAGATTTTCTTAGTAAAGTCCTGGGATCCACCTACAAAAGATTACAAGAGGTGAGTTATTTGACATGAAAAATACACGGATAAGAAAGTATAACAAAATTTATTAGCTATATGAAATGGTCAATTAACTATTACGGGTTTCCCCAAGGAGGCTTGCTTAATCGGTGTATACTAAGAATTGGATGAAGATAAAGCTGGACGAAAACTGGTAAATTGTGTGTAACATATAGTCTGGGTCTTATCTCGTTAGTATGGAGCACAACGATCTTATCTCGTTTGTATGGAGTATATAAAGGTGGTATGACCTTATTGTGTTTGTATGGAGTATAAATGGGGTAGCATGATCTTATCTCGTTTGTATGGAATATATAGGTGGTATGACCTTATTGTGTTTGTATGGAGTATAAATGGGGTAGCATGATCTTATCTCGTTTGTATGGAGTATATATTGGTGGTATGACCTTATTGTGTTTGTATGGAGTATAAATGGGAAAACAACCCCCGCCACAGAGTGAACTGGTCAGCTGTAAATACCCTTAATATCAACATCAATCAAAAGAAAACTAGAAAATTAATGGAGGGAGTACAAATAAAGAGACATCAACCAGAACTTAACAGAGACAGTGGTTTATATATCCCCAGAGCCTATGATGAATTAATTAAAACAGACTAAATTAATAATTAACATAGACTTTACTTTCACATATATTCTTAGTATCTTTTACTCAGTTTAGCAGTTTAGTTTAATGTATTGTTACATTATATGCAGCACATAATTATTATAGTACTTATAATTTATAAAAACAAACAATAAGATATTCATTAGTTTTTTCTGTAACCTATAAACACATAAATATTAGCATACAGTTTCACGGTTAGTATTATAATTACTAGAGTTAATAAAATGGCCTCGCCTTTTATCTAATGTTATGGTAATTAAAATACATCAAGGCAATAACCTTATATTAATAAGTGGTTTCTACCCAGTGTACATTACAATTAAATGCTTTTGTCAATCTATATGGTTTCATTATAAGAACAAGGGTCACTGTTTTCCTAATTATGTTTTCATTGAATGTTGTGATTGTACATAGTATATATATCTCATTCCTTCTATCTGTATCAGTATTGTGCTTGAAAACGACAAGAGAATCATTGTTGAAACGTAGCTTTAATAGAAATATAGTAATTGTTATCCATATAACTTTGTGTTTATTTTTTAAATGTGCTCAATTACTAAATGCCATTCAAACAGTATATATATAGGGTGGTATGACCTTATTGTGTTTGTATAGAGCATAAATGGGAAAGCATGATCTTATCTGGTTAGTATGGGGTATAAATGGGATAGTATGATCTTATCTCGTTGATATCGATTATAAATGAGGTAGTATGATCTTATCTCGTTTGTATGGGGTATAAATGGGATAGTATGATCTTATCTCGTCGATATCGATTATAAATGAGGTAGTATGATCTTATCTGGTTTGTATGGGGTATAAATGGGATAGTATGATCTTATCTCGTTGATATCGATTATAAATGAGGTAGTATGATCTTATCTCGTTTGTATGGTATATAAAAGGGATAGTATGATCTTATCTCGTTTGTATGGAGTAAAAATAAGGCAGCATGATGTTATCGCGTGTGTTTGGAATATAAATGGGTAGTAAGATCATATCTCATTTGTATGGATCAGACGTGGGGTGGTATGATCTTATTTCGTTTGTAAATGTTGTAGTATGATCTTATCTCGTTGATGTAGATCATAAATGAGGTAGTGTAATGTTATCGCGTTTGTATGGAAAATAAATTATTAGTATGGTCTTATCACGTATAGTGTCCTTACATGCCAAACTCCAGTCATATTATGTGAATTGTTAGTCCATTATGGCATTTATACTCCCTTCCTCAGACCGTGAATGTCACCGTAGTTGTAACTGTTGAAACCTCAAATTAGTTACATTTAAAGTATGATTTTGTTGATTTTAAACAATTATTTATTTTTTTTTCTTACGAGAAATCTGAGATTGGTGTTAGCGGATTTAAAATACGGTTCGTGAATGATGAAAACAGAGATTATTTCATTGCGTGTATTGAATTTGACGTAGATGATATTTACCAAGATTTGGTCATAAAGTCATACATAAGAATACAGAATGAATTTGTAATTATCTTTCCAGAATGGTGTGGTAAGTAGCAAAAACCTTTGCAATATAAGAATTTTAATTTATGCAGAACAGAACAGTTGATCTCTGGTTATCAGTACACACATCCTTTCGGGATTTGAAATAAAATCAAATCGGATTTATAACGTCTTTCTGAAATGCACCAATTGAGCTAATGAAAATTAGCATACTTATGCCGCTGTAAGGGAAATTGTGATACGACAGCGAAGTTTTTACCTCCTATTCGCCGACTTACAACTTCCAATGGTTCTTTTACACGCAAGTCGACATGTATACTACATCCCGGCTTGTCGTATCATTAACATGACTAGACATTGTTCCTCACGCCACTGCTTTGCAAATTAGAAAATAGAAAAGTAAACTATCGCTGCATCAACATCGTGCTTTTACAATTAGAATCATTAAATAATACTAAATCTTTTATTCCGAGAGTAGCATTTATGGCAAGGTTTGGGGGCTTTTGTGTGAATATTTTTCACCACAACAGTTCCACAACATATTGATAGAAGTTCGACTAAATAAATCTTATCAAAATTTAGAATATTCGGACATACAAAAAAAAAATCAATTTTTTCAAAATGTCTTCTCCGCCCCCCCCCCCCTTATCTCCCTGTGTAGTACTACTTTCCACAAGATTTTTTGTTTTTGGTCTGTGGTGTTTTTTACCACAAGCGTTCAACAATTTCTTTTCAAGCCCCCATCTCCCTGTGTGGTACCACATTCTACAAGGCTGTCATAGACTGTTTCTGGTTTGTAGTGAAAGTAGTGATAACCAACATACTTGGTGAACAATACTTCAACTTTTAATGGGCATAAAAAAACAGCTGACAGGGTCAAACGACCAGGATTATCATTATAGACGCACATAAAGGCATGCCTTACCCCACAAAATAATCTCAACCAATTTCAGTGATTTATGAAATTGAAGTTCAAAAACTCCCTTGCCAGTTAGCTAGAAAGCTATCTAAAAAAACAGGAAATAAATTAAAAAGAAAATCTTTAAACGTCTAAGATAATATGTAAATAATATTTTCAGGGTCAGGTGTTTGCCTACTACAACAGAGAGAGTGGCGTCGTCATAAACTAATTTTAGTACTGAGAAAGTCCATGGTATCAACTGACCCAGGCAGCATTCTTATGATGACTTACGTTACTATGAGCAAGGCAGACGATTTATTCTTTCATTTAATTATTCCACAAGACAAAAATTTATCGTCATACAAGAATGCTAAACAAGAGTTGGTTCCAAGTTACGATATACAATACGCCAACCAATCAACAATAGTTTATAATCCAAGTGATTATCTTGACGATATACATCTGTTCACAAAAATAGAGTCAGTAACCGCCAATTTGACTTCTGTCTATTCATCAACCAACTTTTATACCAACGAATCCGTTTCAATTTCCAATGAAACTGACGAAAATTCCATTACATCATCTTCTGCAATGGCAATTATTGATAATTCTTTTGACCTATCCGACCCCCTTACTAACAATGGTATATATTCCAATACTATTCGATTTAGGTCACGTGATGATGCTTTTATAGACTGGTCACTCTATATAAACAGGGTGTATAGAGTTTTCCCCGAAAATCAATCGAAGCCAAAAGCATTGTCGAAAACAGCTATGAAATGTTATAATACAGCACAACCAATATCTGTGAAGCTCGGAGCAGCTATTTCTGTGGAGTGCAGAGTGATTGGTATGACTAGTCCCGAAATAAAGGTGTATCAATTGAGAAGCCCAAACGGGCCGAGGTCGAATGATTTTTCTGGTTTTTATATTTTGAAATATACAAACGAGTTTGCGTCATCTATAATAATGACAACATATAGCGTACAACTTGAAGATGAAGGGGAATACTACATCACTGCAGGTTCCAACGACATGTATCTGTCAGAATCCTTCAGACTGAATGTGACCGAAGAAGAGGATTAAAATAAAAAAATATAAAAATGACTTCAAAGGTTGGTTTTTGAATTATGATTGAGTAGTCGATTGGTAACTAGGGAATATTTGGCCTACAGTCCATAATATGTTTTCGGTCGTGTCGTACTCATGACCAACATCATCTGATGAGGCCAGAAAGGTTCATTTGCAAAAGGCACAGATTAATACCCATACAGTCATGTTGGGGCTAAAACATTCGAACGTCAATTCTCAATGCCCAAGCATTCCTTAAGTACTTTATTTCTTAAAGACCCAAGTAAAGTCTTCCACCAATGTTGCCTGGTCAAAGTTGGAATCTTCACCCACTTGTCCATACTCATCCTCGGTATCAAGGGGGTTGGATGGCTGAATGGTTAGCACGTGCACGCTGTATCATAAAGTCTGTCATTGAGTCAACTGGCGTGGTTTCGATTACCTGGTTGTACGTGACAAGGAATAGGGTCGACTGTCCAACCTCGTGGGTTTTCTGCGGGTCCTCCGGTTTCCTCCCACTGTTAAAGACCCCTACGCGCAAGCGAATTATGGGAATAAAATTGAACCATATGTTTGTCCCAAAATGACCTAGTTTGTGTCGAGTGGTCGTTAAACCCTCCCTCCCTCTCTCTCTCTCTCTCTCTCTCTCTCTCATCCTCGGTATCCCCAGTGGTCCGTTCTACTCAAGTAACCCCTGGGTTAATATATGGGGATATATGGGGATGAAACGTTTTTAAGTTATCTGCCCTTGATGATTGTGCTATTTTATCGACCAATCCCATAAGTCGTTAATTGAAAAGGAAGTTGGCAAAGGGAAGTAACTCACATCGGGTAAAGTAAGCAAAACGCAAAGACTCCCCTTCAAAAGAGAAGGTTAGGAATTAGCCAGAAGGTACCCTAAATTAGAGAAGTCCAAATTATACTAACTGCATATTTTATTAACAACAAATTAAAATTATTTTATAGTATATTAATGAAGACCGTACAGGTGTTTATATATATGTAGGTTCCGGGGTTTTATTGAGAATTCGTTGGTTCGTTTCTGGAGTTTAAGGTCACTTCCACCAAGAGTGATATCGTAGACAGTTATTGAGAATCAAATTGTCAAGTATAAATTCAATAATAATAAACAGAACAGAATGAAACATTTCAGACAAAGAATTGAAATGAAATGAAATGGGGTTTAACGTCCTACTGTTCTGCTCCGACTGGGCTAATGAAAACAAGGATAAGCCATACAGTGTGCTATAGGGGGAATTTTTCCTATATCGAATCCAAACTGCCAACGGATCTTTTACGTGCACGTCAATGTGTGCACGAGACCGCGACTTTTCCTCCCATCCGAACGACTATGCGTTGTCCTTTGCCAGGCCCTCTATCCACGCTGAAAAATCTCGTCGAACTTTCTCGGCCAACGCTGGGATTGAACACGGGACCTCTGGGTTAGCTAATCAACGTCTTAATCACTGATCCATCTTATTAGACTTTCAAGTTATGAGAGAAAATGTTTCTATAATTACTTGAACAAATCATATATATATATATGCAATTTATGCACTGCGACAAAAATAGGCCGGAGGCTTAGTTCGGGGAGGGGTGGGGGGTCCATCAAATGGGCACAAAACCAAACCCAATTTTTCTATAGTAAATTTTGCGTAGAATACGATGCCGAGTGGTAATCAGTCAGCCGTTGGGGCGTTTTCGAGATATTCGGGGTCAAAGGTCAAATGAGATCATTTGCACTAAAAGTGAATGCACAGCCATTCTTGTATCATTAAAACATGCTGAAAATGATCGAAAGTAATCACTCTTTCAATAAAAATGTAAACTTGCTAAATTCACCTTCGTTCTTTGTGACCCCGGAGGCCAAAAGGTCAAATTTTCCGTTTTTGCACTAGGAAGATTTAAAGCAATAAAATGTTAACGTAAAAAAATATAAAAACTAAAGCGAATCCTGTTCTTATTAATAATAGGAACGTCGAAAAAAGATCTTGCATAATAGAACCAAAACATTTCGAAACCTGTTTCAAAAATACGTAAAAACAGTCAAATCGAAATCTCCCCGATTTAGTTTAACAACGATTGTTATACATAATGAAACTATTTGTCCGAAAAACAATTGAATAATTTCATGGTTGGCCTACTCTAATATGACAGAATTAAACATGGCGGTGTAAAAACAATAGAAACCACTGTGAATAACCGATTGATAGATTTTAATCAAGTTATTTTTATTGTGATTGTCTATATTTGTAAACTAACGTTATGTGAAAGTTATTGAACGATCAAATAAGTATGTGACCCATCTTATACCAAGTTCCATAAATTTTCACAAATGCAACATTCACATCATTGATGGTACATTCAGGAGCATTTAAATCCATGGCTATGGCCAAGATACGATAGGTTTCGATATGCCCTACACATATTTTGTTGCATAGCAGAAACTTAGATATGATTTGTTTTGTGTTGATTCATTTTTAAAGGGATTGCTATTAAGGCATCTGATTTACGACTTTAAAGTCGACCAAAATCAATGTTTCTATTGGTTAATATAGAGATGTCAGCTAATTCTTCAAATGGGAAGTGGTGTCAGGTATTTTAGAAAGCGTATTCATGCCCTGCCTACTGGACAGCTAAATGTTCGAACATGGATTTGAGGAGCTGAAGCTGTTGATTACCACACTAAAACGGGTTATGGACTTTGCCTGTGTTAATATTTATTCAAACAATTTGTCCAAATGAAGAATACGCAGATCTAATAAATTGTATATCCGACTAGGACAGCGGGAGGTCTTTAATAAAATGTTAAAAATATAGACCTATCTGTAAACCCCCAGTCTACAACAGATATTTGGGATTCATTTTTTTTTTTTACATTTTACCTAGTCGAATTTGGTCAACTTTGGGGCAAAGAACGAATATTAACGTTGGTTGAAGGATTTTAAACACAAGAAAATATATTCAGACCATTGATCACACTATTTAAAGACTACCGATATCTAAGAATATACGATCATTGGTTCTGTGACTTTGAAATTTTGACAGGACTATTTGAAATGAAATGAAACGGGGTTTAACTAACGTCCTACTCCGACTGGGCCAATGAAGACGGGCATACGCCATACAGTGTGCTATGGGGGAAATGTTGCCCGAACAGCGGCACTATGGCCTACTCTTATATCGAATTCCAACTGTCAAGGGATCTTTTACGTGCACGTCAATGTATACACGAGACAGCTGTCCTTGCCAGGCCCCCCGTCCTGCACCACTGACAAGGGATAACCACGTCGGAAAATCCCGATGAACTTTCTCGACCAATGCAGGGATTGAACACCCGACCTCCAGGCTAGCGAGCTACCGTAATACCCACTTAGCCACCGTGGCACCTGACAGAACTATTGAGTAATAAAATGAATCAGCACATTACGTTTTTATGGAAATATAATATTTTGTCTCAAAAAATCAACACCATTTAGTGGTGATGTTTTGTTTGTTTTACAGAAAATAGTTGGTTTATCTGTGTTTGCTATTAACCTTTGAATTATCCGTGTTCCTGGCTTATTATAGTTGGAAAACCTTTGGCTTTTGATGTTACCGTATATATAAACCAAATATATTTCACGCAATAATTACAGAAGATGATAGGGGGACATCAATAGCCATTGATTCAAAATTCAATGATGTTAAGACTGATCAATTTGAATATGTGTTTGTGTGTGGTCTTTAAGTCTGCTTTTGACGGCTAATCTGGTGTGGTGTCCCTCTAACAAACAAAAATCTTTAATATTTCAAAGTTTACTTCTAAGACGTCAAAAGAATAAAGTCAGATGTTGTGTAATTAAGACCTTTTTCTCCAAGATACATGGAAGTAAATAAATTGACATACGCTGACTAGTCTACAGACACGCTTGATTGATTTGGTCGTTTAACCAGACGAATTTATTTATCAATTTATACAATATTATATATACTGAGCGCCATGGAAAACGCATCACTTTTTTTTCCCAAATATTTTTTTACTTAGTGGTTTTGTATGTATAATATTATGCAATACTATGAACTATTGTTTCACACAATGCTCCCAAACGCAAAAAATATCGGCCCGTGTGCACAAAAAAAATTGCACGAGATGCACATGAAAAACCCAATATTCACGTGCAGCATTGTGTGTGAGCCCTTTAAAGGCATGTTTTCAACTTAATGTGCAGTACATGAACTGTGAAACGTCAATCTGTCGTCATTGGTTGTTGGAGCTAGAGATGCCGAGACTTACTGAAAATCAACGGAATGAAACCATGGGAATGTCCAGGGCTGGCATGTCTACACGTGCTATTGCCAGACACTTCAATTGTCATCAGTCCACTATTGTAAGGTTGGTGGAACGTGTTCGAGTTACTGGATCAACACGTGACCGTCAACGTCCTGGTCCACAACGCGTTACAACCCAGGCTCAAGACCGCTACATCCGGGTCACTCATCTGCGTGACAGATTCCGCCCAGCGACTCGAACAGGTGCAGCAGTCGTCGGAAGACAAGGACCAGTAAGTGCTAACACCGTAAGACGTCGTCTAAGAGAAGTAGGACTCCGTGCACGACGACCTTATGTTGGAGCTATCCGCAGGGATCATCACCGTCAGCGGCGTTTGATACGGGCTCAGGGACACCAGACATGGAGAAGATTAGACTGGCAAAGTGTGCTCTTCAGTGATGAGAGTCGCTTTCATCTGTATCACGCTGATGGCCGTCAACGTGTGTGGAGACGTCTTGGGGAACGTCTTGCAGACTGCTGCGTCTTCGAAACGAATCGATGGGGTGGGGGAAGTGTAATGGTGTGGGGAGGCTTCACATTTCATCACCGGACCGCCCTACACATTTGCAGAGGTCGCGTTAATGCTGTAGCCTACCGTGATGATGGCCCGTGGAGGACACACGCGCTACTAACATCTGTGTCGTACTTTTGGTTTTGACCCCTCTGACTTTGTACCCTTGATTACAGATTAAACATACATAAGTGTACAAATGTGTTGTTATTGA